CATGGATAGGGCGTCCGAAGGTCCGGATGAGGCATGGGAATATTGTCGGATGTAGGTTTGGAATACGGGATATGACATAACTCTGTTTTCGATTCATGCATGGAGTTTGGGCCGGACACTGTCGCGTACATATACGTTGTTTGCTCTACCGTTTCACTTGTGTCGTGCGCTAACCAAACTCCTTCTGGTTCGTCGTCGTCTCTTTTGTCCTTTGCTGTGGCCGCAGTCTCGGGCCGTTTGCCTTTCGCATCGGGTTTTCCTTTGCCTCCTGATGCTCCTCCACCTCCAGGGCCTCTGCAGTCTTTCTGCATGTGTCCGTACTTGCCGCAATTATGGCAGTTTCCTTTTATCCTCCGAGTGCGCTGACTTGCATTCATGTTGTAGGCAGCGTCATCGCTCAAGGATCCTGCCTTTTTGGACTTGGAGGCTCGACGATCGTATTCGTTGATGATGGTGGACATCAGCGTGTCAGCGGTGAGCTTGACGCTCGAAACCTTAGCTGACGCTGTCAGTGCGGATAGATGCGGATCATAGGACGATGGTAGGGAGCTCATAATCATAGCCACGAAGCTTTCGTCGGAAGGTACGTGTCCTAACGAGGACAGTTGTTCTTTTATCGTTCGCATCTTGTCAAAGTGCTCTCTGACATTCCCTTTTTCAGCGCATCTCTGGTCCTGGAGCTTTCGCAACAGCTCCACGGACACTACACGCGAGCGTTGTTCGAAGAGACTCAAAAGGTGCGTAAAGATCTCCTTTGCTGTGTCTAAGTTTTTAATTTGAATAAACAGAGAGTCAGGGATTGTCCCCGCTATCTGTTGCTTCGTTATTGCCTGGCCCGTGCGCCATTCTTTCAGCTCGCTCTTGTATGTGCTGACTTCCTTTACTTCGTCTGGAGTAGCAGGTACCCACGACGCTCCTCTGTTAGGCAGCGTTTGGGGATCTATAGGCTTTGTCTCGGTGCCATCCAAATGGCCGAGCAGCCCTCGAGCGTCTATCGACCATTGTAGACGCTCCTTGTACATCATCCAGTTCTCTCCGTCGGCAACGAGCTTCGGGATACAAAGGAAGTCCTCTCCGAGTTTTCCGTTCGAGGTAGACATTTCTTTTGAGTATGTTCTTTGTGCGCTTAATTTGAAATTTTCACTTTAGGTGTGCAGGGCTCATAACCTGTAGCAGCTCAGCTCAGCAGACGTGCGAAGTCAACTATAATGTATTGGTATATACCTGTAGCAGCTCAGCTACAGGGATTGTTAGTTAGGTACATGACATGTATATGAATATACTACTAACCTCAGCAGACGTGCGAAGTCAACAGAGGAATGTTGCGAGACGCAGGAACAAATGGTATTTGTATGTAGGTAGAAATAAAACGGTACCAAAGGTCCATAGTTACGAGGATTGATATACAACAATAGACTCACTCACTGCAAATGGCGGACACAACGACTCGGACAAGCGTGGCTCGAGCTCGAACGAGGATTAACAGACTCACTCACTGCAAACGGCACACAACGACTTGGGTGAGCGTGGCTTGAGCTTGAACGAGGATCAAGAGACTCACTCACTGCAAACGGTGGACAACGACTTGGATCAGCGTGGCTCGAGCTTGAACGAGGATCGAGAGACTCACTCACTGCAAACAACGCACAACGACTTGGATCATTGATTTGACCTTCATAGCAAAGTCGGCAAATGGTAGGATGCGGTAGAAGAGGGAAGGATGACGTGGCTTTAGTGTTGAATGTTGAACATCGAACATTGAACGTTCGGAAGTTGAAAGGTTTCCAAACTAAAAGTCACGTGAGTCAAACAAAAACAAATACGCGCAAATGTTGGACTTGTAGTTTTGCTCACTATATCGTGCCTGTGACGTTAATTTGTAGTTAGTTTAGTTTGAATGCGTACCCCCACAACTTGTCAAAACCCGTTCGAATTCAAAGACAGGTAGAGCTGTTGATACGGCTACCAGTGCTAATCCCTAGACATATTTTTGTGACTTTGTGCTAATTATGTATAATTTTCGAAAATTAGAGAGCTTAGGTCAAATTTTCACTAGCCTAGTGAGCTTAGGTCAAATTAACCCAATTAGTCTAATTTTGTCTAAGTTAAAATGGGAGGGTTTTCCTGATGTGTGAAAAACCCGCGGTATACCGTGAACACCGTGCATACCCGCAGAACTGGCGGGTCGGTGTACACCCGTACCGTGGCGGGTACGGTGTTTGCGGGTACGGGTGCGGTGTGGCCTCAGCGACCCGCGGGTTCACCCGTGCTCAACCCTAGCCATAATAATATTGACTGTCAGTCTGTCACATCTCCCATCAGGCCAGTTACTACTGGAGACCAGCAACAATCAAAATTGCTGCAGTCTACACATTTCCGATATTCTCGCGGTCTGTTAGACCTGGTTTCGTTGGAAGAGGAAACCCATCTCTGAGACTTACGTCTCCTTAGGAACTCCCTACTAAGAAGCACACGGTACGCCAGCACCACGGAGTCATCCGCAGACCGGTCATTTCAGACACCTCGATAGAGGCGATAGAGGATGAATACTCTCGCAAGCTGTTCGGTGCCGTACAATGTGATGATGGCTGGGAGTGACAGGGGATACTAGGCTAATACATGCCATTTTCGCCGAGCTGATCACTCCCGCTTTCCGTAGCCTACGCTGCCTACCGCCTAAACAATGAATTCCATATATAAGACAGGAAAATAGAGCTTGCGTGCAAGATCAATTTACCGTCACCGACAGCCGTATCCTCTGGCAGATTTAAGGCTAGGCTACTCGCTCATACTAATCAACATGTTTCCCTCGTTAGCTCTTGGTTTCCTCGTGGCCGGGATCACTGCAGTCGCTGCAGGCAGCAGCAGTAGCTGCATCGGCACAATCTCATCCTTGGACGACGTTAGCAGTGCTACCCAATGCACGACAGTGAATATTAATGCGTTCACCGTCCCTGGTGGAAAAACGTTCGAACTGCAGCTGCTGGACAGTACCACTGTCAACGTTTGTGAGCGTGATCTGATACTTCGCTTTGCGCATCCCTAATTCTTTTTAGTGGGCGAGATTCAGTTCGGAAATTTGAGCTGGGCAGGTCCCCTATTCCGGGTGATGTGAGTGCAGGCACTACTACTACAAGTGACTCGGAGAACCTGATCAAGGCCGTCTTGACAGAGGAAATGACGTTACTTGTACGTGTGTTATTTGAAGTCGTGGCAATCCCTAACGTTCTCAGTCAATGGAAACAACCAGAGGTGGGATGGTGGGGGACCTTTTTACTGGGTAAATACACTGGTTCACTCGCGATGTTTTCGCTTCATCTTACACTGATACAGGACGGCCAAGGTGCCAGTATCACAACACCACACCCAATGATGCAGTAAGCTCATTAATTACTGTTGTGCTACATTCTTTTTTAATCTTACGTCTGCCAGAATATCGATATCGGGCACCTTGAACGTATGCGCTCGAATTGCCCCAACCGTTCCAGGCAGATCGCTAACTGTTTGTGCAGGACGTTTATGTCGTAAACTCTCCCTCCTCCGCCTTTGCGATCACAAATGCAGGACCTCTCACTATCTCTGGCGTCACTGTCAATGATTGTGCGTAGTTGCATGTTATCAGTGGTGTATCTCATTTTGACGTCAAGAACAGTGCAGGGTAACTATCCCAACTCGCGAAGCGGAAACGCCGCTGCTGGTAAGTGATGTGTTCATCTATCGGATAGTTTTGACTTGCTGGCCGACAAGCACACAACACCGACGGCTTTGATATTAGCGGTAGTGATATACTCATTCAGAATTGGTTCGTCTATCCTCTAGTTACTCGACCGACTCAGACACTTACGAGCATTCAGCACTGTCCTCAATCAGGTCCGTCTGATGATTGAGCTTCCACGTTCCTTTGCCTATAAGGTATTTCTTTTTGCAGGACGATTGTTTGGCTATCAACGGGGGAACAAATATCACATTTGCCGACAACTACTGTGAATACGGTCACGGTATCTCCATTGTGAGCCACTTCATCAATTTTGTGAACCCAATCATAGAAATATTTGTCGTCTAGGGCTCCATCTCGTCAAATGCCGTCGTCTCCGATATCGAGATTATCGGAAACCATGTTGTTAGCAGGTGACTACGGCACAAGGCTGAATTAGAGTTGTACTGACACGAGTAGCGCATACTCCTTCCGTATCAAGACTGATGCATCTGCGACAAACAGTATAGTGAAGAATGTTACATATAGCGTGAGTGATTTTGATGATGATAATCGTGGACTGAATTTTTTGTAGGACAATACTGCAACCAACTGTACCGGTTTTGGCGTTCTGATAACTCAGGTACGTGTTTTACCACGCTCTCCCGTCGTCAATCATATCACATATCTACAGAGCTATCCCACTAACCTGGGTACCCCGGGCAACGGGGTCATCATCTCTGTATGTGTTCTTTCAGTTTTACAACGACAAGGTTTTTACGGGTTGTCTCAGGATATCAACTTCAACCATGGCACCACTTCCTTGACGGCCAACAGCGGTGCTTACAGGGTTGCAGTGAACTGTGGAAGTGGATCGTGCACAGGTACACGAGTTACAGTTTTCGTCAGTCCATTTCTGACATACCATGATAGGTGACTGGGACTGGTCTGGTTTGCAGACAAGTGGCGGTAAAGCTGGATCCGTCATCCACGATAATCTCATTACTGGATTCGTCAACACACAGTGAGGTGACCCACCGTGTATTGATATATACACTCGCTATTACTTCTCCTGTCGTTCTTGCTTGTTGGAACTATATGGTGATTCACCATCACTCAACCGTTATGTAACGTAGACTCGTATTGACTTATACTAGACTCACCACAGTTGAAGCTGTTCTAGTGACCTGGCGCTTAGCTTCCTTGTGGTCAAAAAAACATACAGGTGCATGCAGATATCGCTCTTTTTCTTACACATTTTTCTTACACTGTCGTTTATGATATACCTACACTTACACTTACAAACATGGCCTTGGACCTGGAGAGACATACCTGCCATTTTTGGAGGGAGTACGTAAGAGGCTTGATTCTTGAAAGCATTCATTTTTGGTTGTTCTAAACCTCAAGCTTCCAAAGTCTTTCTCTTGAAGAGCTAAAGTATTTCAACTATAACCAGTTAGGAGGCTTGGATGGAGAAGTCAAACATCTGTCACTCGATATCCACGTCTTCCAGTTACTCAAGAAACACCAGCACGCTATCCAGTTCTCCGTCAGTTGGTACCGAAGTCTATCACGATATATCAAGACCACGCATCGGAATCTCATTAGTTGACCAAGGAAGCATCGCCGAAATTATTACGAGCTCCAATTTACGCGCATATATCCACACTGGATACCTGTCTTCTCATTTTAGTCCAGTTTCTTCAGTCACTCCTGGCTACGAACACGAGTTGGCCGATATATCACCACCACCTTCTTCCTCCCCGATTGCCTACCCAGAACTTCCTCCTCGCGAAGACGAAAATGAGGAGGCGACCTGTCATTACCCTTCGGGCTCTTGCAGATACCCCCTAGGTTCCCCTACTCGTGCTGAAGCGGAGCCTGCGAATGTTACAGACTGCTCAAGAATGAAACGTCGACTGCTCAGCAACACTCCAGAAAACACGCCGTTTTTTCAATTTACCTCTGAGGCTCATTCTGCCAGACTCCAGTTGGAGAAGAAGTCCATGGTCAAGTCCTCAATTCCTTTGTTGACTGGCCTTGCGCGCCACGGCAGAATGTGTTCTGAGCGGCGTTCGAATTCTTATCATACCATGGTATATCCATCGATTCGGCTAAGAACCAACAAAACCTTGAGCACAGCAAAGTCACTACCGATACCCCGATCGATCGTAAGCGACTCGAGCGAAGGATATTTTAACAACCGCGGAACTCTTCCACTTGAGGACCTAGGAGAATGTACGGAGCAGGAACCTCCAACAAAGAAAGTTAGGATCTGTCGTCTAGCCAGTGATCGTCCTGATCTACCCGAGATACGGACACATTTTTTGGCCAAGGAACCAGCCAGTCTACGCAGAGCCCAGTCTCTTGTTTCACAAACTTCTACTGATAGGGACGACGAGGACGTAGTCAAGGTTCGTTAAAACGATTCCTTGTCAAAATGTCGTGTATACTTCTTCGCGTGGAAGTTGACGACGCGCAATAAAACAGCTTTTGGACGGGCCGAACCCTTCAACTGGATTGCTTCTTCCAACCATCTCCCCGACAGTTCAGCTCGATTCGCCTATATGCCCCCCTACTGTACCAATCACACCTCTTCCTGACACAGTTAGCTATTTTCGTGCAAAGAGAAACCCTCTTTTGCGTACTCCCGCCGTCCGCGCGCCTTCTAAACAATTGCCGAGGATACCACCTGTCCCTATCATCGCGCCTCCCAGATCTCCTAGCCCTTTCATGATAAAGTGTGAGGAAGATTTGGCGGGCGATCGGATCAAGATTCTTCTCACGAAAGAAAGAGCAGAGCGTGAAAGCGATGGCCTGGGCCTTCCTCTAATTCCTGATGATTGCTCCAACCGAAGCGAGAGTGAAAGTTCTGTTTCCGACGACGAATACTGGGCCGACTCGCCTTCCGTCTCTGAATCCGAATCCGTGGCGAGTCAAAAGTCAGATCCATCTCTGGGCACAGAAAAGTCTCGAAATCGCGAACAATGGTCAAGGGCACTCGGACTCGACGATTCCTTCCGCAAAGAAGTCGTTGGTTGGATGTTGGATGCATGAGTTGATCTACCCTTTGTAATTGAGCTTGCTGACAAACTCATAGGTCCTCCCGAACATCCCTCCGATGAGAAATGACAGCGTCGACATCGATGACCTTTTTGACCAATTGGACACCTGTCGAAACACAAGGTTTCACGCGGTTTATCTCTTTTACAGATATTTCCTCCGTGTTGCAGATAAGAAACTAAGTATCAACCCGTCAACGATTGCGTCGCCTGCCCAATCTTCAAGAGGGTGTGACGACTCTTCGACGAATAGCAGGGCATCGAGTTCGGAAGATAGCGATGACGAATCCACCGGCGAAGACTGGGACAACGAATTAGATGCTGCATCTGATGATACAGTCGTAGTGAAAGGAGAACAGGTAAGTAGATACGAGTCCGAGTCAGACCATTGGCAGGACGGTCAGGAGGCGGTTATATGGGACACCGCTCTTGGATCATTAGCGTTGTGTGTCAAGGTAAGATCATTTGTAGATCAACATTCATAGAACTCTTATTTGCATTTGGCAGTTTCATCGTGACTTCTTGTGCCCACTTAGTCCCGTGTATGCATACGAATTCTTGGATTTAGCACGGCATTCCATGTCATATCAGGACCTCGAGGTATCATTCCATTGACTCGTCATGCGTTGATAGCGGTCTCTTTTTCCTCATACTATGGTTACCCATCAGGTTTCACAACGCGATATACTTGCCGCTTTCGATTTCTGTATCGGTAGCATCACACCGCAAGGTCTCATGGATGAACTCTGGCTAGCTTTACCTACGCTACGGAAGGTTACAGAACCTGTGAAGGATGGCTGGAAATCGGTCCAAGCTGAAATATGGGATAGGCTGTTTGACGCATTAATAGGTACCCTCTCTTGATCATATTTTATCAGCTATAGCATTGAGTTTGACCATGCCCCAGAACCTGACGTCCTACAGTTTCCTATTTCGCTGCTAACTGCCTCTGCCGTGATCGACGGTCTCATCATTGCCATCGCTCGCTATTACAAAGCTACAGCACGTAACTCTGGGTGTCGTTGCTCTCTGTCGTCAACTTGCACGCCAGAAAACACCACCAAGCAGGTTCCCTGGAAGGTGTATGTATCCAAGGCGATGGATACGGTGAAGGATGTCGTTTTGGATGTAACGGATGTTCTCCAAATACGTGACGTGAGTGTCGTTCATTATATTCAGCCTAATGGAGAGCCACCTAACGTTTTCACCAGGACGATTTGGAGCGCTGTAGAGCATGGATGAGCCAGGTCTAGTTTTTTTGTGCCTTCGTTTTCTTCATATCCGATTTTCCTACATTATATTGATGATTGATGAGTTTCGTTTGTATTTTCGTTGTTGCGTGTATTATTGTGTAATTACAGAATTTCAAGAATCACCAAGACGACTTGCGCAGGAGGTGAATTGCACTGTTGATTGTGGAAACACGTGACTGACATATCACAGTCGATTTGTCAAGTTGAACGTCCAAGGAGCACATATGATCACATCGCGTCCAATATCCTGGAATTGCTTGCCATTCAATGTCTTGCCAGCGAACCATACATCCGGTTTGAGATACCGAATAGAGCATCGCCCTGACTGGTTCCGTACTTTCTGCCTCGTTCTTTGTGGAACCCGTCGTCCGATAAAATCCGTTTATGTAGTACAAATACTGATGGTTTTCTTCCTATGTCCACTCACCCCACAGACGTGTCGATTCAGAACCACTCCCTCTACAACAATCAGTTCCGCCACTTCCCGACCGGTTTGCTAGATGATCATGACACCTACATTGCCTGTTTCCTTGACTTGAGTCGCCTTCTCTGCCGCATATTCCTGCGCTTCTTGATAATCCTTTTTTTACTTGCGCGTTTCTTGTACCAAATAACTCATGATGATTCAGAGTTCACCTATGCAAGCATTCGTGAGGTAGGCATCGGTGAATTCGGACGAGCTAGGTCATCATCTTCCCCCAGAAAATCTACATGAAGCTAGTTTTTGAAAGTCGCAGGCCATCTCCGGGAGGATTTATGGAAAGACAGGCAGATATGTAAAGTAAAGCCAGTGCCAAGCCCAGTCAGAATGTTTCTAGTTCATCTAATGGTTCTTTCGAACTTGCGACGATGATGACAGACGTTGGGAGGTTGGTGGTTGATAGGAAGGGGCGATCTATCGACATCCGTAGCTTGACCCGAGGCTCGAGCCACGTCGTAGTATACATCTCACTACCAGAATTTATATTGGTGCCCTAAGTTGGCGGGAATGGATGAGATCGAGCAACTAGTCAAGTCTTGTGATCGCGTAGGGGAATACGTTTGGAATACATAAAGGCGTGGGAACGGGCTGTCCAGATCAATGTATACTCCTACACTTGGACAAGCGAATGCGAGCCTGAGAATCGAATTCATCGGAATCGTTTCATAATTGTCTTCTTCTCTGCTTTCTTCTTGTTTTCATCTTCACGACCGCACGACCACCGTCGCCAATCGGGGCCAGGTGACCTGCCTGCAACTTTTTCCAGAAAATATATATATCATCATCTGCTTGTTATACCCGATACCATCATCTTCTCCGTCTTACAGATTCGCAATCACGACGTCGATTCCTAATTGAACTTTCAATTAATTCGGTCAACGATGGCACCAGGTCCAAAGACAGGCCCTGCGCTATTTCTCGGACTTGAACTTGCTACCGATCAATTGCGCGCTTCGATCGTGGATGAGAGCTTGGAGCTTGTGGGAGTAGAATGCGTTGATTTTGACACCGAATTACCTGAATATCAGTACGTGCTCTCGTGTATATTCTGTTCTTCCGTGTCTCGCTGTCAGTAACTTGGATCCCCAATTGTTGCGATATATGCTTTCTTCATATCGTTTCTAAAGTCATTTTATTGGAGAGCTAATATTTTAATAGGACTCAGGGAGGGATTTTTACCACTCCAGGAGATGCATACACCACGCCAGTAGATATGTGGGTCAAGGCTCTTGGTGCGTAAACTGGCGGAAGCAAATTTTTTTTGCTTCGACTTAACCAATTTGGATTTTTGGGTATTTCTCCGATCACTTACCACGTGCGCGGGAACATTGTCTACTTCTCCCCTAAACACAACCGGCAACAGACTTTTTACTGGAAAAATTGACTAGGAATCATGATCTAACGAGAATTAAATCAATTGGTGGTTGTGCTCAGGTGACTCGCTTGTATCAAGCTGTGAAGAGTCCGTCCTGATGTGATACATAGCATGCTCTCGTGTGGTGGAAATCGACACCTATTCCTTCATTTCCAGCGCTGGACCCGCGACTCCCGTTTCATTCTCAACTTCCTCCCAACACTTTCTCATTACCGAACACACCAGTCGCTCAGGATACGTCCGCACACACCCATGCCCTCGCCCTCGAAGCCCTACTTGGGGGGCCAGACCTCATGGCCGCTCGCGTCGGCACATGCGCTAACGCATCACTCTTAGCTGCCCAACTCCTCCGAGTTCGCGAATCGTGGACATCTGATGTCTGGTCACGAACGGGGAAGATACAGCTTGCCAGCCAATTTCTTGCAAGTATGGTCGTGGGGGAGTGGGTAAATATGGGAGAGTCAGAGGCCTGCGCGACCGGTATGTGGGTGCATGCCAGTGCTGGTGCTGGCACACAAGGTGCACCTGGACTGGGCCGCTGGGACGAGGGTGTGTTGGAGATCGTAGGTGGGAGCCGGGAAGAAGGTCGGAGAATCCGAACATGGCTAGGCGACGTGGAGGTCGCTAGTGGAAGAAAAGTGGCCCATATCTCGCGATACCTATGTGAACGATACGGATTCGAATCCGGTGAGATTCATTTGCTATAATGTGTGTGCAACCCACTGATGAAATTTGCAGATACGATCGTCACTCCCTTCACTTCTGATTACCTTTCCTCATACCTATCTCTCTGTCCATCTCCTGGAGATGCAGTGCTTTCATTTGGACCAATGGATACCCTTCTTACTCCTGCTCAACATTACCTACCAACTCGACTTTACAGCCTATTCCCCCATCCTGCCCAGGATGCCAGCGAAAAGCGACGATACATCGCCATGTTGAGCAGCAGGTATGCAATCACATAGCCTCACATCTTCACAGCTTCTCACGTTTGCTTGCAGAAACGCTGACGTTCCGCGTGCTCTTGTAAGAGATATGTACACGAAGAGTTGGAGTGCGTTTGATCGGCTAGTTGCCATCGTGCCACCTGGTGGATCCATAGGGTACGTTCATGTAAACGAGTATTTATATTATTTCTCTGAAATTCTTTGCAGGCTCGATGATAAGCTCTTTAGTTTTTGGCTTCTACAGGGCGACAGTTACCCACTATCACATGTCAAAGGCATCTATCGCTTTGAGACTGGTATCAAAGTCAACGAGTTCCGAGACCTTCGTGCAAACCCTCGGTGTCTTCTAGAGAGTCAGGTCCTCTCATTCCGCTTTCGATGGTCAAAGATGATTGCTACCGGTGTTCTTGGTTCGAATAACAACCGGTCTCGGGGGAACGTTGCCCAGACACCTGGTCCTACATCGCCACAAGGGCAGAATCCCCGTTCAAACATCGCATCCAGCCTTGGACTCTCCTTCGATCCATATGATTATTCCCCCCTCCCTGCAAGAATACTCGTCACTGGCGCAGCTGCCAACTTCCCCTCCGTTGCAAATCTTGCAGGCGATGTGTTCAATGCACCCGTATTCATGCCCAGTACCCAGGTTGATTCTGCTCAAGTAGTGCCCCACCGCAACGCACCTGCTGCTGGGTTCCCTGGCCGTGCATCACTTGGGGGTGCTTATTTCGCGCGGTGGATATGGGGAAAGGAGCGTAGTTCTGCTATTGGTGGATCAAGTACCGGCCGAGGACTCGGCGGATTTGAGGAGGAGATTAGGAGGTTACATGGGAAACGCTGGGTCGCAAGCAGTGGTACCCCGTTGCGGACCAATGTGAATACTCCTGTGGGTGGGAACGGAGGCAGTGGAGCCAACAGCGGTACTAGTACTCCCTACGGCCATCGCTCTGGACTGGGCTCCACTGTGTTTGTCGAGGAAGAGGAAGAAGAAGTGGAGGAGATGGAACGTGCAAGCGGTATACTCGCCTCCTCAGTGTTTGCAGGTGGCTTTGCAGACAGGGATCTTGGCAGGGACATCAGCCGCATGAGAACGCTCACAGGTTCTACGCTTGATACTGTGACGAGCAGCGGATCTATGGGGCCCTCGACTACATTCACAACTCCCGATCTTAATTCGGGCGCAGGAAGTCCAGGTGGCGGAGTTGGAGCTGTTGTGCCGCAGACAACCACGCTGACTCCTGTAACTGCCTTACCTACTTCTGATGCCGAGGCACAGATTGGGTTGGCGAAAGTCGCTGAGGCAGACGTAGACGCGTTCATGACGTACGCTGCTATCGTGCCTGAGTATTGCCGACTTGAGGGCATGCTCTGCAAGTCCCTTGTATGATCGGTGGAGGTGAAAAGTTCTCGTCATGTGTATGTGAGTTGGGTACAAAAAAACTACGAGATTTCATGATTTGTTGTATATATAGGATCTCATCGATACTTACGCGCCTTGGATATTTATTGGAGACCATCGATGATCAATAAGTTCTCTGATAGTATTTTGATTCTCCAACTTGGCGTGAACATAGCTGTCGATATGACGCCCTTGCATTTGCCCTGTATGCATAAAGCCTCACGTGGGGGCCTAGTTCCTTCCTCTCCTGAGGCGCAAGGCGCAAGGGGATTCTACCCCTTAATCTTTCGTCATAGTGCCATCGATAGCGGCGTCTTGCTGATAAAATCCAATTGATCGGATCGAACGAGCTCCTTTCAGCATCAAATATTGTGGAGCTTGGTGGTCTAAAGGGTTGAGATTCATGACCAAGTTGATCGTTGACGTATTGCTCTACCAGGTATAAATACGAGGCTGTTAGGAGCGTTCTAAAGCACGCACTACCATGACTTGCATTCAGAACCAACGCATTTACACCCTTAGAAACTGTCAGGGGGGAACTGTCATCGACCTCTCTGGTGGAGACAACTACTCCAGTAGGCATCATACCTGCTCCAGTCTCCATCCAAGTCAGTGCTGACGTTGGGTTGACCTGTAGTGATCGGTTATCGCGACCACAATGGTCCCAACCAGGCGGTAATGTGTTACCAGTAATCATTGCAGGAAGGGTTGCACTGACGAGCTGGACTATTCGCAGTGGATCTTCCACCATAATGATGATGATGACACCTGGTCCATCAAGTCTGTCGGAGCTGATAAATATCTTGGGATCGACGGCGATGTCAACGATGCTGGTAATGGCACCAGGGTTGTCGCTGTCTCGTTCCCTTTCAAGTGGGACATCAAAAACTCTGACATTCAAGGCGTCGAAGGCATCAGGTACGCATGTCTTTCGACTTGTGGGGTATGGTTGGCTGTGGATTGATTATCGTCTATTATTTTTCTTCCCCTTGGCAGGATATTGCTCCATGGACATAAATTCAGCGTAGACCTGTCCGATAACGGAAATGCGACAGAAGGCACACCAATTCAGCTTTGGACTAGGTGGCATGGTGCCAATCAGATCTGGGCACCTGTCGAGCGTAAATGGTGTGTTTGATTCACTTGACGACTGTTAAGCCCATCTTACTGACTGACAATTATCAGATCGTTTCTAGAGCGTAAAAGAGCAGAACTCCTATGCACTGTGAATTGTCGTGTATAACAGAATACTCGTGAAAACGAAATATTGTCTAGTCAAATTGATGATCTTGCTGGAAATAAATTTCCGCTGGCTTGAATGCAGTTGTGACCGTGAGCATGGCAGTTGATTGTCTCCCTTCATCACGGATACACGCGGTCTCGATCGACAGTGGTAATGACAGGCAGGTCGCTCAAACCCACGTGAGTACCTGTGGACGGTAATGGCTAGTACGTTGCGAGGACATAATCGCTGTGGCACAACCGGCGGGCCTGGTTGGTTGCACAAGTGTTCGGAGGTATAATCCGCTTTTGAAATTATGTTGTCCGCACACTAGTATGTATGCGAGAAAAGTCCTTTCGTCTGAAAGGTGTTCTGTCATGATATCGAAGAATGGTACCCCGTAAAAATTGCAACCAAGGTCGAGCTCGTAAGTTCCACTCGGATGTCACCGACTGGAAATGATGAGGCCTTCGCTGTCCAGTGGAACTTCTTCACTACCGTCCCACTTATCCGATATTCGTTCCGGTACATGTAGTACGCATGAACCCATGGAAAGGCGCCTGGAGAATTGTCAAATCAGGACAGAACAGCCTGAGGAAATTAGAAATTCGCTGTCAACGACAAGTTGACTTGCTCGTAGATATAGTCCCAGTACAAACTCAGTCACTCGGGGAACGACGAGGAATTGCACCATCAGATCCAGATCTCATACACTTCCACTCGTATCGTTACACGATTCTCCATTACATGGGCGCACTGGTATACCCCGGGAAATATTCCACGGAACGCACTATCCTTCTTGCCCGCTTCAATTAGTTGACAGCTATACTCTTCAAATAATCGACACGGTAAGGGTTCACATCTGTCAAGTCGCCGCGGTTGATAGGAGTCCACTTGGGCTCATCCTGTAAAGGTTTCTTGTAAAGACCACCAGTAAAAAAACGGCAGATACGAACCTTGAAGAGACGCAAAGCTTTGATCATGTTATTCTCGTCAAGAGTGAATCGATGGTAGATGCCAGCAGGGAGAACCAAGAGATCACCCGCGTCTAGCTGACAACGAATCCATGAATCTGTGGGATGTTCTGGATGACGAGCTATCAGAGTATGACATGGAATATGTGATTCTCCCCTCACCTCGAACATCGAAAAAGCCGCTGCCCTCGAGAATATATCTTATCTCCTCGTCTTCATGCATGTGCCTGGTATTCAAGTTGTTGCCGAATACAGACACGATGTTGTGGAAACAGAGCGTACTCTTCAAAAAAGCTCTTTAGCTTGGCCTCGTATAAATCTCCAAGGCCCTGCTTGGTGATCGTGATAGTGTCTCTGTTCTTGTAGTTTCTTTCCTTTGCAACAGTATCGATCTGATTCTGTTGGTTCGTTGGGATGTGCCAGTGTAGTAATCCGATAGATTTCAGGATATCATCTGATACAGGGTTTCCTGAATCGTGCAGCAGCCGCTGATCGCCTGGAATGTTATCGAAGTAAAAGGCACGCATGGTGATGGTATCGATCCTCGACTCCGGAGGGGCTCTTGATCCTATACTATATTACTAAGCTACTAGTTCCTTCTTATGTAATGCTTTCAGTACAGGCGACTTGAAATGTTCTAACGCATGTACTAGTTCTTACCCATTTTGATTTAATGCTTGCACACAGCTGGCTGCACACGTCGACGGTCGAAAGGAAACCGGTTTGGGTCTCTACGTGGATAGGGTTCACTCACGATTATCATATCAGAATGAAGTTCGATGCTCAAGATGTGACTCGTCAGCACTCCAATAGTCAACGGCTCGTTGGAAATGCCAGTTCCACACCTGCCAGGCAATGATAGACCTTCAAAGCTTCAAGTGCTGGCGATATGCTGGCAGTATGCTGGCATTAATCATAGATATGAAAGCACATCCACGCATGTTGAAGTCCAAAGAACAGTGGCCATCAAGGGACTGGTGAGTCACAGATATTGTCATCTATGCCGATATATGATCACATATTATACGACTTTCAACACCAAGATGGTAGGCCCGTATATGATTGTCCCGGCAGACCAAATACATGTTATATTGGAATCCGAGTGATGAACGAGTCAAAAGAACAGAAAGGGCATTATTGTCACGTGTCATATCGTTACAAGGGATCCGCGGCCCGCAGCGCTCTAGTAGGTTCTCCATGATATTTTCGCGCTAGCGTTTTTGAGTCTTAGTTTTGTTGCCCTGCTTGCACATACAGTGACATACTAGTAGTAAGTTTGAAATAATCAAATTTCGGCACTTGATATCTCCCGTTGTGTTTTATCACGTGATATTTCATGTCCTTTTCTTCAATTGAACGATTCTGTTAAACGTCGACCAGTCGTCTACCGTGCCTTCCAATTAGCCCTGTATCCAATATGATGCGCTACACGTGCTGCGCGCCCTGGTGTCCAACGATCGAGGTGCTGACGTGGCGGAAACCCAGGATCATGATATTTATTTAACCTTTGCTGAAAATTTACAACACGCCCACATGATAGAAAAACTCTATTTTTCAGTGAATATACTTATCAGAAATTAGCTTTTTCTGGAGAAGGCGGCTATGTTCTACTAGTTCGCACTAGTGCTCAGTACAGTAACGGTCACGGGACTTACTACGGGGTCGACAACCGGAGTCTTTACACTTCCGACTCGCCAGCGGTCACCAACCTCAGCCGCCCTCTTATCTACCTGTACCCATTAGGAGAGTCCAGGAAATTTTTGTCTATGGGATCTGTCACCTATGGTCTCAGGTGGCGATTCAGACAGTTATCCGCCAATCAGAGCACATATCGTGTATGCGGTTAGATTCAACTTTTCGCCGTTCACCAGAACAGTCTTAGTATCACACATTTTCGGCACCCAATCAGCGCGATCGCAGCACAGGTGGAAATTTCACTGCACGGTGCAGCGGTCCGCCCGCAGAGGTCGTTATCAGCTTAGCCTCTACTAGAGGCAACTTGAACCCGTTCTCAACGATACGGTGCTTAGTACTAGACTAATCGAGTTGCTATGCTCAAACTAACTTCGGACTAACTTTATAGGTAACCCCCAGCCCCTGAAACCAACCAACCATGGAACCCATACTCTGCTACCTTGAACGAAGTTTATAGGAATCTTGACATAATCAAGTGTTTGCTGCCCGATTTTGAAAACGGAATGAATCCGAGTCGGAGACATTGGCAGACATATGTTATCGTGTCTCAGCTATGACAGACAATGTCAACGCTAATGCCGCAAAGACGTGGTACCATCCGTCATCGCCATGATGATCCATCTTCCGCGATTATCCCCGATCTCTAAGACCAACTTTATTAGTCTCTTTTCATGCCGTCCTGTGCAAGCCTGTCCGCCGCTTCGTACTAGTTTTCTGTCACTATACAACCACATCTCTACTAGCTTGAAACCATCGGCAACGACCTTTAGCGCTCCGAGGTCCGTATATCGTCTTTTCTTGTATAAAAAGGATCTCCAGTATTCTTCCATTTGCATCAACCAGCAGCCTCTTGTTTTTTCTTCTTTCCCACTCTTCCCCCATAGAGCATATCAACTTAGATCTAATCACTCATAACACATAGATTAACATTGCAATGTCGGCAGTACTCCCAGTCACCCTCCATGACGTTCTCTCTCAAGCTACTGAGCGGTACCCTTCTCACGAGCTCGGATTCATCACATCTTCCGCTCACGACTCTTCCATTCGAGCGACCACATTCAGCTCCTTCAACCAGTATGTGCGCAACCTCGCTCGCGCTATGCTGGATTGGGGAAAGCCCGTTGGCTCGGTTATTGTTGTCTACCTGACCGAGCACGAGGATAACATGGCCGCTGTTTGGGCTTGTCTCCTTGCAGGCTACGTTCCATGCTTGCAACCCGCCCTTAGTGCCCAGCAGGCTCACAAGGAGGGCCATGTTGCTCATATCAAAAACCTGTTCTCGTCCGCTATCTGGCTCACTAATGAGTCCGGCGCTGACCAGGTGAATTCCATCAGCGGTCTGGATATTTACCTTCTTTCGGAGCTCAAGGCTTCAGCTTCGAAATACCACGTTTCTGCCGACTGGGTCGCCCGTACCCCCCAGCCAGATGATGAAGCAATACTATTTTTAACCTCTGGATCAACTGGCTTCTCCAAAGCAGTTGTCCACAGCCACCGCACTATTTTGGCCGCTTGCTCCGCCAAAGGAGAGGCTTATGGGTTGACTTCAAAGACTAATGTACTCAATTGTAAGTCGTCTTGTTCGCTGTCGTTTCCGATGCTGATATTTGTCCAGGGGTTGGATTCGACCATGTCGCGGGTTCTTTGGAAATGCACATTACCCCCTTGTTGTTTGGCGCATCTCAAATTCATGTCCATGCATCTGCTATTCTCTCCGACCCACTTCGTTTCCTCCGTCTGATCGACGAGAAGTCCATCAACGTTGCATTCAGCCCTAACTTCTTGCTTGCAAAACTTACACGGGACTTGGAGAAGAGGACCGATCTCATCGGAACTTTCGACCTTTCTTCCATCAAGCGCATCAACAGCGGAGGGGAGGCTGTAATTTCGAAGACTGCTCAATCATTTGTAGCTGTCCTCAAGAAGCTTGCACAAGACCCTCTCAAGGTTTCTTTCGTAATCTCACCTGGATTTGGTATGACCGAGACCTGGTGTGTTGTTTTTGGCCTACATGGAGGCATCAAACTCAATTAGTCTTAATATTAGCGCGGGGTGTATCTACGAGCCGGTGGATCTTAGCATTACTGAGCCAAAACACGAATTCCTCGATTTGGGTCGCCCTGTACGCGGTTGCGAGATGCGTATCGTCGACCCTGAAGATGGCAAAACGATCCGCAGGGACGGAGAGAGTGGCGAGCTGCAAGTCCGTGGCCCCATGATATTCGTTCGTTACTACAACAACGCGGAGGCCACATCTTCCAGCTTTGTCGATGGTTGGTACCGCACCGGTGATGTCGGCATTATCGAGGACGGTGTCATGCGTCTCAGTGGCCGCATCAAAGACACTGTTATCGTCCACGGTGTGTCATATGGTATTCCAGAGCTGGAGACGCACCTCCAGACTGTCGAGGGTGTCACGCATTCCTTCCTTGCTGCTGCTCCCTACCGTGCACCCGGGCAAGAGACTGAAGGTTTCATTATCTTCTACGCTCCTACTTTCGACCTTAACGGAGAAGATGCTTCCACGAAACTATTTGCCACGCACCGCGCCCTCCGTGATATCTGTGTCAAAATGATCACCCTCCCTCCTCAATTCATCGTCCCCATTCCTATCAACCAGATGGAGAAGACTACTCTTGGAAAGCTCTCGAGAGCCCGCCTTGTCAGCCTATTCAAACAGGGAGAACTTGCCAAGCACATCGCTCGTGCTGAGGAACTTCTCAGCGAGGCTCGGGGCTCTTCATTTGTCGCCCCTTCTACAGAGGCCGAGAAAGCTCTTGCAAAGATTTACGCTGGGATCTTTAACCTGAGCGAGAATGAAATGTCAGCAAGCGACAACTTCTTCGAGCTCGGTGGTACCTCTATCGATGTCATCAGGTAAGCAATACAGGATGTTTGATCATGAATCCCTCTCACGTTTCTTTCTATCAGACTCAAGCGCGAGGGTGAAGCACACTTCGGTTTGCCCGAAATACCCACTATCCAGATCCTCAAGCACCCCGTCATTTCCAGCTTGGCGAATTACGTCAACACTCTTCTCTCAAAGGACAGCGCCGCCGAGGAGTACGACCCCATCGTTCCTTTGCAGCTTACGGGCAACAAGACACCCATCTTCTTCGTTCACCCTGGTGTCGGTGAGGTCCTTATTTTCGTCAACCTCGCCAAGTACTTCCAGAACGAACGTCCCTTCTATGCTCTTCGTGCTCGTGGCTTCGAGCCAGGTCACCCTTTCTTCACCTCCATGGACGAAATGGTGTCAACCTACGCTGCTGCAGTAAAGAGGACTCAACCCACTGGTCCTTATGCCATCTCCGGTTACAGTTATGGTGGTGTCGTCGCCTTTGAGGTCGCTAAGCGCCTCGAGGCTATGGGTGATGAAGTTAAATTCGTCGGTCTCATCAACATCCCCCCTCACATCGCCGACCGCATGCACGAGATCGACTGGACTGGTGGTATGCTCAACCTTTCATACTTCCTTGGCCTTGTGACGAAGCAAGATGCCAATGACCTCACACCCACTTTGAGACCTCTCTCGAGGAAGGAACAACTGGAGGTTGTCTGGAAACTATCACCTCCCGAGCGTCTTATTGAGCTCCAGCTCACGCAAGAGAAGCTTGACCACTGGGTCGACATTGCTGGCTCCCTAATTGAGTGCGGCAAGGAGTACAACCCGGCTGGCTCAGTCTGTGAGTGTCCTTGATTCTGTAGTTTATTCTCTCACTGACGATCGTGACCAGCCGCTCTTGATGTCTTCTACGCAATCCCCCTGAAGGGAACAAAGGCCGATTGGCTCAACAAGCAACTCAAGCCATGGGACGGCTTCAGCCGTGGCCAGGCAACATACACTGACGTCCCTGGGCAACATTACACTCTCATGGACTTTGACCACGTTCCTCAATTCCAAAAGATCTTCCGCAGCCGTCTTGAATCTCGTGGTATTTGAGACTACAGATTGTCACGGTCGGAACTTGGAGGCGGATTGATTTTACCGGGATTTATTGTATATGTATATATTTCTATATCATGGTGGACTTTTCTTATACATACTTGTACGGTAGTATTTTTTTGTAAAAATGCCCTAGTGTTGGAACCATAGATTATATGTTGTTATTTTTCAATGATACATGAACTGATTCGAGCGATTCGAATTTCGAAATGGTAGACTCTGTCCACCTGTGACTCCCACTTAACGACCGTAATTATAGTTGATAATAGATGGGATTCGCACCTGTAAGACAAGGCGGATATAAGCGATCAGAGCCTCCTCTGATATCTCTTGAATAGCGAGGGACTTTATATAGCGCTGTAGGATTAAGAGCTAAGTGCCGCCGGCATATCGGTAAACGCCGCGACGTGTTCCTGACGTCGCTTAAGGTGCCGGACTTTCGAGTTCGCTGTGCGACACGATGAGCTCGAGTATCTCGCGATGACGTGGATGGATTGATGGCGCGTTTTGCGCAAGTGAACATTAAAATACGTAAATCAGTCATATTTGTCCATACAATGTGTTAACTATGCTATACTACTCTTCATCAGCGTGGTCATGAAGTTCCAGACGCGAGAAATCATCGGCGACACGGAGGACATCCTGCAGGCTTCTCGATGCCTCCTCTTCCACCTCCTCTTCCTGTTCCTCCTCATCCAAGTCATCTGGAGTATCCAGCACCACTGCAGATCGTCTATCATTAAAAGGTGGGTGCCCTGCCAGTAGTTGTGATGGGACCTGCGCGTTGGGTGTACTGGAGCTTTCTCCAAGACCTGTATTAGTGCTCATACCTGGGGCTATGGTCCCGCTGAAGCCAGGAAGGTTCGAAATGTCATAGAGCCGCTTCAGGTGACGCGAATTAAACCGTCCTCGAACATTGCGATGTATAGCGATTTGGTTGGCGAGAGTTGGACTGACAGACTTCAACTGATCCTCGCACGCCCGCAGATATTTGTCTTCGTCTTGAATGTACGTCACTAGGCGCCGTACCTCCACATTCAAGCGCTGAATTTCCTCCCGCGCCCGACACATCTTGAAATAGAGATCCATCGCTCTGCGAGCAGCAGCCGATGCCCAAGGCCGTTGAGAGATGTCTGCACGCGTGTCGCGCAAGAGGTCAAAATCAGCGAGAAACGCATATTCGACGACCTCTTCCCACTTTAGGGTTTTGCGGGCAGGGTACATCGAGCTGGCGATAGAGTTGTACGTGGTAAGTGCAGATCTAATGGCGATGGAACGAGCCTGGAGTGCTTTAGCGATATGCTTCCGTAGTTTATACCCTTACATGGTATTGGAATTAGCACGCGCAAGTAAGATATAGCTATTAAAAACTCACCTGTACCCGCTCGGTTCATCTTTGTCAACTCAAATATGCGGGCAACAATCAATCCCTCGAGACGATCCAGAGCACGCTGGTATTTCCGGTTTGCCACGAGTCTTCCAACCTTCTGCCACTGCGCGTCTTCTGCCACCCAGCGTTTCTCAACCTCCAGCTTACACTCGAGTACTTGAGCGAGTTTCAGGTGCCTGTTGTAATCCTCAAGAGCGTGCCGTCGCGCACTCTCGGCTTTGCGGGTATTTTTTACCTGCCCATCGTATGATGCACCCTCGAGGTGAGATGAGTCCTGGAACGCTGTCATTGCAGCATCCAGAGCCTCCCTGTACAATTTGTGTTAGTGAGCGCGAGGCATATACCTCAAGAACTGAACTTACTTGCTCGCAGCAAGATTTGCCAGCGTTTTCCAGTATTCCATCTGCAACGTTTCGTCCGCAGGTTCTTGCGTCAGACCTTGTAGATATACCTTCTCTTCCTCCAGCCAGCGCTCGAACACAGTCTCGTCTGCGACTTTGAGATCCCGCATAAGGTTTGGTAGGGTCGTGCTACCATCATTCAGTATGTCGAGCGCTTGCCTGTAGTTGTTGTATAAAAAATCGGCTGAAAAGGATTATGTCAGCACAGATCACGTTTTACAATGAGACAGCTTACATAGATTGGCATACACTTCGAAGTCATCGTTGTGTTCGAAATATGTGTCGATGGCTTGTTGTCGATGGAATACGCTGGCATAACGTAGTGCGGACGCCAATGAATTGGACTTCGAGAACGTTCGTTCGCATACCTCCAGGTCCTCGAGTCCCAAACCTTTGATGTAAGTAGTAAGCGAGAAAAGTTGGCACAATCGCCTGTGCGCATGTCCGTGGAAGGCACCGACAAGGCAAGTGTGATGCAGAGACCGTGCAAGGGGTCCAATAGAACTATTATCGAGCGTGGTCCTGAATTGACAACCGATGTCATACCCGCCACCCAAATTGCTTCCAAATACCTCCAGCAACTTCGAAACAACGGCCAACGGATACTTCGCACTGTAAAACAATTGTGAATTTATTAACAACGTACCCAAAAAAACTTACAGCTCGCCACTCTGTATCATATCTGCAACGAGCAGAGTGAATCCATGTCGGCACATGGCCACAAAAATGCCCGTCTCATCGTAAATACCCCATGCTTTCTTCGTCTTTGTATCGTCCATATTCTTCCAGCGTCCTTCACACGAGTTCTCGGCATGTATAACCTAATAGTTAGTATTAGCCGTGACCAACCCAAATCAAAGTGCCTCGTACCTCATCATCCGCAGTAGCGGAGTCCCGCGCGAACTGATCTACATAAGTGCGAGATAGATAGCGGTTGCTTGTGAGTTGCTGTCCAGTTGGAAGCTCTGAAGATGCGCCGAGAGAGTCGTCAGTATCTAGAGATCTTCGAATGACTCTTTTTAAAGAGTCGTTGCCGTCCATGGCGTAAAGCAAGCTAAAAGTCAACTTGTGTTCATCCATTAGTATGTATGTGCATGCGGGGCAGGCGTGTTTCAGGCGAAAATCGGGTGAGTCACGTTGTAATGACTCAGCTACCATGGCTGCCACGGAACGTCGAACTTGAAGATATAAGTCGAATGCAATAGAGAACTGACGAGATAAGTGTCTGTGGAATGCAACCTGCGCATGATAAGATATCAGAATATCAAAACAACTAAAACGACATACACCATGTAAGTCACAAACAGTTTTTACGAACGCTTGAATTGACAATTGAGGACTCCTGAGATGTGCTACACGATATAAGTCGAGTGCTTCGGTGGTGATGCCCACGGTTGGCGATATAGGAGAACACGGCATTACGCCTTGACGGACCAGCGCAGAGCTGATGGTGGCGTCTGTTGACAAGATTCGAAGACTGACTTTCTCAGCGTCTACAATGAGCCGGACATGCCGTCATCAAATCGTAAGCAAACAACAGATCGGATCACTTACAGAACACGTCTATCACGCTGATTGACCATTGGCCACAGTTAGAGTCACTCCCCAACCCTTCCTTCTCCAATCTCTCAAAAAAACCTCTGAAGGCATCCTCACATTTGGTCAGACTCCACACAAGGTACGCGTCGGTCATCACAACCATCTGCTCAGCAAACGCATTGTTCCTGCGGAGGACGCGATCACGACGGGTGCGTTTATCCACGCGTTGTACACGATTGTTGCTGCTCACAAAGGTACGTCACATTTACGGTAAATACTCACCAACACTCACATTTTCCAAAAGTCTCCTAAAACCTCTCTTGCAAGGTCAGTGAACTCGCCACCAGCGTGACTGATGGCGAGTGACTCGGTCCCATTCCAGATATCGCCAAAGCTCATATCTTCGAAGTCTTCCTGGCAGTCCTCTATGGTATTGGTGTCCTCTTTTAGCGCTTCGAGAGCGCGACGCTCTTCCAAACTCATAGCTTTACAAGAGGTGAGGGTTTTTTTTAAGTATTTGAATTAACATTAAATACCTTGTAGACGTGCTTGCCGCCGCTCGTTGGAACTTGCCGCTTGCTGAACCAGCTGTGTGTGTTTGAGCACCTTGGATACGCAATTGACTGGCAATCCATTCTTGTCCCTCGATGCCCCAATGTGCCGAATGGATCGCAGAGAGAGGTTTGTGCGGACTCGCTGGTGTACTCTACCATTCCGTGCCATTCAAACATTTGTGCTACTAGTACTGTAGGTCAGGTCCTATCTATTCTTCACGTGACTGATTATCTGTAGCACTCCGACCAAGTCCGAATTCACGACATCACTCCTACGATGTCGACATCATCTAGTAGCCACCCTACCCAGGGTGATCATATCCAGGATTTGCGCACTTTGCTGCAGGAGATGACACTATCAGGTGAGTGTTGTCCTCATTCAAAACTAACATGTTCACACTCAATAACAGAGTCGTCGTTTGACACTGTCACTTGGAGCCGCAAGACAACTGAAGAGGTTTTCCGGAGGACATTCCATGCGCACGGTCGATGTACCTCTTGCTCAAGATGAAGATGTGAGTGACTCGTTGTCCCTCCAATTTCGTTTCATTAAAATACACTGCAGAGATATGGCATTGTCCCTGAAACTGATGCGGAAGCGGCTGCAGCTATGCAACGTACGAACAGCAACCAGGCCAACAGTGCAACACAATCAGGTCAACCAGCTGGGGCACAACTATCTCAAGCACAACCAATCCAAACACAAGCACAAGGGTCAACTGACGAAGCGGAAGACTTTGTGTATACAGGAGTGAGCTGCTGCGGGTTTTTCTTTGGTCGTCGTCGTCCTGCTTCGCATCAGTCATGAAGGATGGAAGATGTGTGGCACGCTCACACTCCGTTGAGCTCTCTTTTCCCCGCATATGTGTCTAACTCCTCATAATCAATATTCACTGCCGCGACTATCACCCACGCACTCGGATCCATCTCTACTTGTGCACCTCCTTTCCCTTGCGCTACTTTTCCTGGATCCACGCCACGTAACTCCACTGGGGAAGTTGGCCCCCGTTTTCTGGAATGCAGCTCTTGGTGGTCCAATGGTCTTCTGCGCGGAGAGCTTAATGTTTGCTGGAAAGGTGACCCGTTGAAACGTCAAAGTTGGATTTCGCGCAGCATTGAGTATGAACTGTTCAAACCGTACACAGATAGTTAAACATGTGTTTGTACAACTTGGATTTCCATCGATATGAGTTTGCTGATTGCTTGGAACTTACAAATTCGTCGATCTCCGTGCGAGGGCG